TGGCTCTTCTTGCTCTCTTCCTCTTCTCCCTCCTTGTCTTTTCAAGCAAGTCATCTTCACCATTGTTGCATAATCTTTTCATATATATAAATTCATTTCAATCTGTTTCTTCGATGTGTATTGAACGTAATTTTCTTGATTTTTACAGGTTCATGTTGCTCGGCGACTCGGTTCCACAAGGACTACAGGTACATACAGAGGAAAACAATGCTAGATTTGGCTAGCAAGATTGGTATTAACTATGGTAGACAAGGAGACAATCTCCCATCTCCTTACCAATCAATCAATTTCATCAAATCCATCAAAGCTGGTCATGTTAAGCTTTACGACGCCGATCCAGAGTCTCTTACACTCCTCTCTCAAACCAATCTTTATGTCACCATAACCGTTCCTAACCACCAAATCACCTCTCTTAGCTCTAACCAATCCATAGCTGAAGATTGGGTTAAAACCAATATCCTCCCTTACTATCCACAAACTCAAATTCGGTTTGTCCTCGTAGGAAACGAAATCCTCTCCGTTCAAGACACGAATATCAAGGCAAATGTAGTACCGGCGATGCGCAAAATCGTGAATTCTCTCAGAGCACATGGGATTCACAACATCAAAGTTGGGACACATATAGCCATGGATTCTCTCCGATCGACCTTTCCACCGTCGAACTCAACATTCCGGGAAGATATCGCCCGACCGTTGATGTTGCCATTACTGAAATTTCTCAACGGAACAAACTCTTACTTCTTCATCAATGTTCATCCTTACTACCGTTGGTCTAGAAACCCCATGAATACTAATTTGGATTTTGCTCTGTTCCAAGGCAACTCAACTTATACCGATCCTCAAACCGGTTTGGTTTACCGTAATCTTCTAGACCAAATGTTGGATTCGGTTATCTACGCAATGACCAAGCTCGGTTATCCACATACCCGAATCGCCATTTCGGAAACCGGATGGCCTAATTCCGGCGACATCGAAGAAACCGGAGCTAACGTTCTCAACGCGGCGACATATAACCGGAATCTAATCAAGAAGATGACCGCAAATCCACCAATCGGTACACCAGCTAGACCCGGTTTACCTATACCGACATTTGTTTTCTCGTTATTCAACGAAAACCAAAAACCCGGTTCCGGAACAGAGAGACATTGGGGAATCTTGCATCCAGACGGTACACCAATCTACGACATTGATTTCACCGGTCGAAAACCCTTAACTGGTTTTAACCCATTGCCTAAACCAACCAACAACGTTCCTTACAAGGGTCAAGTGTGGTGCGTACCGGCCGAAGGAGCCAGTGAAGCTGAGCTTGAAGAAACTTTGAGGATTGCTTGCGGTCGAAGCAACACGACGTGTGCGGCTTTGGCTCCTGGAAGAGAATGTTACGAGCCGGTCTCTGTTTATTGGCACGCAAGCTACGCGGTTAGCTCGTACTGGGCTCAGTTCCGCAACGAAAGTGTTCGATGTTACTTCAATGGACTGGCTCATGAGATCACGACCAACCCTGGTGAGTGAGCCCTTCTTTTTTCCATAATTTGACGAAATTAACCTTTTTCGTAGTCACAGAGTAAGGGGTATTTGTGGAAATACACTAACTAGTAGAATTTTTTTTTTATTAACAGGAAATGATCGCTGCAAGTTCCCGAGCGTTACTCTGTGAAGACACATGGAAGAAATTGAAGATGATTAAAGGATGGATTTACTCGTATTAATTACTCATTATTGTTTTTCATCATTATTTTACATTTCTGCTTCTTGTTTTCCCCATGTTAACCAAAAAAAAAAATCAACTAATTAATAAATAAATTTTTGTTTCCCCCCTA